CGCCTGATTCTCCGGTCTTTATGAAATTTCTCATTTTTTTCGTATCCTCGTCATTAAATTATCACGGGGATTGAGTTTTTCCGTACCCCACAAATACATGTGCGTGAATTGACGTGTGTCAGTACGTAAATACATATTTACCCACGTTTTTTACACATACGTTTGCGCGATGATATTGGTACGCAGAGAATGTCAATGCGGAGAGAAAAGACGGAGGATGAGGGTGAGTCCTGGTAAAAGAACGGGAGAAAAAGGGCAGGGGCTAAATGGGGTGGTAAGCGTGGAGAGGTCGTGCAGTGGGTGGGGTGAAGGGGGTGGGTTTCACGAGGCGCATGATTTCACGGGACGGTGGTTGGCTGAGTGTCATACTGCCGTGCTGGCAGCTGTGCTGTACATGGGTCCCTCCTGTGCGTGAATAGTATATACATGTACCTTCATGTATCATGTATGATGGAAGGAATGGGAATGCTACTGAACTTTGAGTGCAATGCCACTGCACTTCACTGCTGTGCATTGCATCAACCACTTTAAACGATTATTTATTCGCCTTTATTATTACGTTCTATTTTTTTTACTGGGACTTTTGGTTTTTTTTTTTTTTTAATTTTTGTAGGTTGTTGTTGAACGTTGGTTTTTGGTTGGGCGGGGATTTTCGGGAGGCGAAGGGTGAGTGTGAGTTTTGGGGGATTTTCTACGGATTTTTCGGATTGAATAGTCATTGTGGTAAGCGGAATTCAAATTTCAGAAAAATTGTTATCGCGGAAATTATTGTTTTGAAATTCATTAATTCAGGGAAATGATTTACTAAACTGTCTATTCTTCGATATTATTCAGAAATTGTGAAAATATCTAACGAATTTGTATTTTTCCATCACTCAAAAATAACTGACTAATCGTAAACAATTATTTTCAGAAAACTAACGAAAAAAAAAATCTCAACCTGAAATAAATTGACTGTCCCCCCGAAAATCAATTAAATACACATTCACAAAGACCATTTGCCCTAGTGTCCACGTAAAAAAAAATATACGAAAAAAGAAATGAAAGTTTTCTCTTCAAGTCGCGACGCGATATTTCCCGACTTGCGGGAGCGAAAGCAGCCCAAAGAATGAAAAGAAAAAAAAATAGTATACACTCCCGTCCGAGTCCGAGAAAATAATTTATTTTATACGATCGTTCTCCCCGGATCGGGCCGATGAGTATCCCAACGTGATATACGAGCCATCGATGAACGTCCAACGCACCTAGTCTCTCAGCAATGTACACGCGATTTTTAATCGTACCCTATCCCAATCCACTGCCAAACGTGCCAATAAATTTTCCGATTCGACGCTCAATCGTTTTACCCCCCTCCGTGTATTCCTTTTATTTTCATCTCTTTCGGACAATTGCGCGACTGACGAAACCCTCAAACCTGCACTCAAAGTAGAAAATAAAAGAGCCAATGATTGGAAAAGTTCACAGGAGCTTGTAGAACAGTCCGATGTCACACACTATATCGCCCCAGGAATTATTGTTTTTTAAGTCACTTACTCGACTTCTCACTTTTCTCTCCAACTCATAATTCAATAATATTGAAACATCGACTTTATCACACTTTTTCATTGTCATTACGGTGCCGTTGGGAAAAAAAAAAGGGGAAGAAGTAACCGGAAAAATTTAACGACAGTTATTTTCTTTGAAAGTTTGTCCTTTCATCTTTCCATTTGGTATTCTATCACCACTGAATGACTCTTTTAATGCTTTCGGGAAACTTTACCCCAGTGTAACACAATTCTAAAGTCATCTGTTCGTGAATCTACACCGCAATTAAGGGATAATTGCGTGATGAAAATTATTCCTCTCTCTGACTATTTTCATAATTAATTTTCATTATTTTCTCGTATATTCGGTGGGAGAGTGGGAGAATATCTGCACCAGGTGGTGAAATATTTTCTTTGAAGATTTTTTTCTAAATATTTTTTTTGTTGATTCACCATTTGTTTGGTCTCTTTTTACTCTTGTGAATGGAAACGATCGACTCTTCCTGTGCCACTGGCACAACCACATTGAAATATTGCCAAACTTTTATCCCACCTTTCTCCTTTCTCCAACAAGAATGGCACTGAACAGAACTTGGATACGAAACTACGACGGAAGCCATTGTTCCACTGTGCCCAGTAACTTTGGCGAAATCACCACATATATAACGAAAACGAGTGGCGAACGAAAAGAAATCTAAGAAACGGATCTTTCGACTTTCGGCTCGCTGAGATCGAGAGATTTGTCGAATCCATGGACGGAATATATTTCATTATTACCAAAAAAAATTATCTCTCTTAATCAGAGTGACGATTCAATTTTTTTACAATTTTTTTTCACGAATAATTGATGAAATTTTTCATTTTATTGATTATTATGTACATGGAAAACTCCTTGAACGATGCCACGCATTTATTTCATGAAATTTTCGCTCTACGGTATGCAATTGATTTAATAAATTTAATGAAAATAATTTTTGCAATTTTCGATATTACGTGTAGACTGAGACTAATTGAACAGTGGAATTTTTCATATAAAATATTTGCCTTTGTGAATAGTATTTAATATATGGGAAAAATATTTGATAGAATGAGAATGAAATACGAGCGTAAAATGAATTACTCGTCGAATCGAGGTTTTGATAACAATTTGGCAAAAAAAAAATTCTTCTCGTTTCGGTGAACAATGGTATGAGTTAATTACGAATAGAATGTCCGAAGCTCTCATCAAATAAAGGGAATTGTGTTTGTTTTTTTTTTAACAATTTCAATAGAGAAAAATAACAAACTTTTTTCACCGCACGTAGTGTTGAAACATATTTCCTTTATGGAGAAGAGTAAAAAAGGGTATGTACAATGTACCTAGGTACACGTGAGCGGAAGGTAAATAAAGACGATGTATGTGAAGAAATGTGTGTGTTGGAAGAGGCAAGAATAAGGGCGGAAGGGAGCGAGAAAAAAAAATCCCATGCGGAAAATCGTTTCAACCCCCGCCGGCTAATATTAACTTCCGAGAAGACGCACTGCATACGTCCTTATCTCTCCACTCTAATCTATTCTTATGAGCACCTTGATTGAATCTCGCTTCCCTTTTTTCAATAACAAAGGCGAAACTCCGCTCGAGTTATTTCAACAATAGACTCGATCCCATGGAAGTGCCATTTATACGGATTACAATTGCACATTTCACTCTGTTTTATAGATTTTATTCAACTTGTAAATCGGAAATTTATGGACATTTCACAATTGCTATTTAATTCTTTTTTTTTTCAAGTCCCTCGAAATTGATTTTATTCTATCAAATGAATAAATTTATTTAAATGGTGTAGAATGGAAGATTTTTTTTTTTTGAAAAGCTAAATCAATTCGATTTTATAGGTAATTAAATTATTTGGGAATTTTTTTTAATGGAGTCGAGATTTTTATGGGATTGAAGTCCCAGATGGGAATGTCAATTATTCAATTTGTATTTTAGTCAATTCGTAAATATCGAATTTATGGGAATTTTATATTTTCAGTGTATTTTTTCAAGTTGCCCTCAAAATTTATTGATCCGATCAAATAAATAAATCGATTCAAGTGGTATAAAACCGAATATTCTCTCCCATGGTAGAGCTTTTCAATTGACATCAACGAATTCTATTTATTATTAAATAATTAAGGGACAACGAGAATAAATGAAATAAAGATTTCGATTAGATTGAAATCAGTAATTTGATTGGGTAGAGTCGAGGGATGTGCGAAACGATAACAGGGATTCCCTTGAATCGAGAATTCATCCAATTCAATCGATAAAATAACCACGGCAATAATAACTTTCAATCACAAGCGATATTCCAAAGGCCATAAATGAGTTGACCTGGCAGCATCATCTATACATCTACCATCACACCGAGATGACACTCAAGTCGGTAGATTTATCACCTTGTTTTATACGATGGCACATTTCACGAGCCAACTGGCTCTTCACAGCCATTATTATTTTACCGAAGAACTTTATATGCTAAAGTAACCCACGATTTTATACTGTCCGACCTAACTTCCTCAGCTACATCTTCAAATATGTATGAAAGTGTGGATAAACAATGAATAATCCATTTTCTATCACCAATTTTTTACGTATTGATGATGTCATGTATAACGGAGTTGTCTACAAAAAGTTGAAGGCATGTGTCCAAAGTTTGGGGAATAGAATTCAAATCGCAAACTTTCCACCAAGTAATAAATATACCAGAGAAGAATGTCGTCATATTCAATTTGACATTTCCGTATCGCTCTGTGCGGAAATACTGGAATAAATAATCTTCCAAGTATAGAATATAGAAAATTGGGAAATGGAGGGATAACTCCGAAAGTCTTTTTTCCTGTGGAATTTCAAGCGAGGAGTGTATTGAGCGTATATTTTTGGAATTCAAGATTATTTCCTGGGAAGTGTCATGGTAATTATCATGAGAGTGAGGTGAATCGAATTATTTTAATTGACTAATGGAATTAACGAAAAATACTCCACTGTGTTTCAAATAATTTGAACAAGAAACAGCTTCCTCAACAATTTTTTTGACTTTAAAATATCTGTCCATTCAGCTCGATCGATAACAACCTCCACCAGATAATAAATAAATAAAAACGTCAATGATTATACCACGGAATTTACGTCCAACAGCAATCCGAAATAATCCAAATAACGACTGTCTCGGGTGCATGAATTGTTTATTCCCCCGATCCCGAAAGTTTCTGGTTTATTCGTGAGAGGAAACGAGACATCGAAGAGAGTAGGGAAACATTGTCGGATAATTCACCATTGGAATTCTATTTTCGTCGTTGGTAGACAATCGAAAAGTAACATGAATATCTTTTACAGTACCGTACAGTCAACGCTTTTCCGAGGGTGATTTTAATGGTTTGAATATTTGATACGCTGACAACTTGCACTGGCTGGAGCAATTCAATTTATCATTATCGGATTGAATTTTGTTCTAGCATGATCGAGAATAGTTTGGAGAAGCCCGATCCAGACACGATTAAAATGTTCGTTGGCCAAGTACCACACGACATGGAGGAGAATGATCTGCGAGAGATGTTCGAGCAGTTCGGCAGGGTTCACCAGATCAATGTTCTACGAAACAAATACACGGGCACTCACCAAGGTGATTATAAAAATTTCCCTTCAAGCACTAGTACTATCTTAAACCCTCATTACAATGCCACCGAAAAATATCACTTTAACAGTCGAAAGTACCCGAAAATATGTACTTGAAACAAGTACAAGAAATACGTTAATTACTCGATTATAATTTATTGTTGTCAAGTACTTGTCTTGTACTTGATTCATGCACACTCGTTTCGCCTATTTTCTTGAGATGAATAAATAACATTTAATTTGGGATTCGTCAGAGCCTCAATTAAAAACTGATTACTCAACTCATAATTAAATTCTCATTAAGGAAATCAATAAAAAATGTTTTTAAAGTCTGAAATGTTGATTCGCAACAAGCAGTAGTTGAATTGAAATAGTAGAAAGTCTGGACTCAATATTTCAATAGTTTTGAAACTTTGAAAGATGGCGTTTTCGATGTTTGAGGGAATGCACTTGAAATTATCAATGTCAATTTTTTAATCCTCCAGTTTACAAATGCAAATGAGTAATTGTTGGATGTGAGTACCTACTATTTAATGGCGAAACCCAGACACCTATTGATTTCTCTTCAACACTATATAACAACTACCAGCAGTTTGACGAGAATGGACATGCGGCTATGGCAGTTTGTTTCTATAGTTATATCCATATAATGCGGGTACATTCGTAATCATAGTAGCCAGCATTGTTTCTAAATTTACGCGTTACCTATTGTATGACGACACGTCAGTTACAGTATCACTCGTGACTGGGTGCATTAATAATAATGGATACAATGGCCTGTCTACTAAAACCCGGACTATTTCGTTTGAATTTCACTTTGTTCCATCGATTCCACTTCACCAATCAATCCACTGATAACATCAATGTTTTCAAATGAATTTTAACGAGTTAATCACAGTAATTACACCGGACGAACGACTGCCAACTGAGATTATCAAACTGTTGCACCCAAGAGATTTCATCACTTTAAATTCATTGACCACACAATTACAATAAATGAAAATTTCACTCAACAAAAAATCCGAAAAATTCGCCAGAAAAATGGAAAAATCGCGAGATTAAAACCGAAAGATCCTCCGAACTCAATAAATTCCCAGTGACCATTACCCATCGCCTGAAACATCGCCCCGATAAATCGACGAGCATTTACCCCCCAATACATCACCCAAAGTTCAACCCCCGAAGTATCAAATTTTCTCATCTCCGTGTCGTAAAAAAAAAAATTAAATAAATTATTTCAAGTTCGGGGACAAAAGTGATGGATCGCTTCACTTATTCAATACAGCCGACTCCAGGCGACTGACATGAGAAAAAAAATCGAGCAAAAATTGACATGAAAAAAAAACGTAAACAAGGGAGAAAGGGAGGAAGGGATGAAGGGGAGGCAAAGGGGGTGGCAAAGGTATACAAGGGATCCTGAAATTTTGATATCAACTGCGGTGGGTGTACGGTGAATCGATCCATCATCTTATTGCCACAGTGCAGGAGGAATAACCTCCCAAGGGCTTTTGTCGATATATCTGTGTACCATATATATACAATAATAATGCGAAACGTGTGGCAGAAGGGATCAGAATGGACTCTCAATGGAAACAAAAAGAGGTATAGAGTACGAACAAAGAGTGAAACACGCGAAGGAAGATACAAAAAAGATTGGGTGGGTGGTAAAAGAAATGAAGGGGGGGCTGGCATGAGGGGGTTAGGTAACGCACGCACGTGAATGCGCACATAGCATAGGTGATATTGGAAAGGGGTGAAGGGGGAGGATCGATGCCCGCAGACAGTACAGGGGGTTGTGTCGCGTCGGCACTAGTTCTCCCCCCCGCCCTCTTCTGCCCCATCTTTTTACCCCCCCGTCGACCCTTTCCTTCCTCACGCGCGGTATTCTATTGATCGGGAGGAGCCAACGGGGGGGTGAATGGGAGAAAAATAGAGGAAGAAACCGTCCAAGGTTCGGGTATCATTTGAACAATCCATTAATTGGACTGGGGGGTGATGGGGGGCGATGGGGGGGCTGGGGGGGCTGGGGGTGGAAATTCCTTGAAATTTCAACCACAGTGTCTTTTTTTTTTATATTTATGATGGAAGGGATCAATAGAAATTAATAAATATAGTTCGCGACAGGCGATTATCGCGGAAACTCGTGAAACTGATTATTCATTGGTCAGTGTGACATGTGATTAGATTTCGGGAAATTTGAATATTTGACGCGCGTAGGTTAAAGGTGGATGTAATAAGGGGGAGGGAGATTTGGGGGTTGGGGAACTCTATCGGTTCTGAATTGAGAGAACACCGATTTATCTGATATGAGGAAATATTCTCGGTTCAATAAAAAAAAATCGCGCAATCTCGGGATAAATAATTTCGTTGGCGCGGTGAGATAAAAAAGTCTTTGAACGAGATGAGATGAGGATGGAGATGAGTTCTCAAGATTAGAAATGATGTTCTTCACATAAAATCGCGATATGTGTAAAATTTTTTCTCCGGACTTTGATTGCGCGAATGATAATTCGAATTGAGAATTTCCATCTCAAATCAAAATATCATATAAATTAAAAAATTAATGAATGACGAATGAATAATTTCATGCGAAAATGATTAAAACATTGTAATCAATCACAAGTATAAATGAAAAATTATATTATTTTTGTTACCGGCGTGAAAAAGTTATTTAAAACTTTTAAATTCCCATTTTGCCAACTCAGTACTGGCCACTTACTTCGGAAAACATTCGGCAAATGTACCTATATACCTTGAAATAAGTACATACCGCTACGCACAAGAATACTAAAGTTTCATGAAGACTCATTGGGGAGTGAGAGGGCGAGAGAGACAGGGAGGGAGAAAAAGGTAGAATGAGAATTCGCACGTCTAAAGTTCAAGTTGGAATTTTCGTTCGAACAAACTTTTGGTGGCTTTACGTTTCACAGGCGGACGCGTATCGATCGCTCCTTTTCACACACAAACCTTCAACCTCTCTCTATCTCTCCCTCCACACGTATACATTTTTTATTTTTCATGTCTATACTTTTATTTTTTTTCTCTACCCCTGCCCTCTCGTTCGCTCTCTGGTTGGTGCGGTACTTGTTGCCATTAATCACCAAGGCACTATTAATCGTTCTTAAGTAGCGGCGGCTCTCCGCGAAGACGTCCTATAACCCACCGAGAACCGGAGTGCGGAGAATAAAAGCATCAGTGTGAAAAGATGGGAAATATATATTCTTTTTTTTCCAATGAAAGCCCTCGCGTTCTATCATACTGCGGTGAAAACGCATTTTTCTGATTATTTTTCCCTCATTTTATGGTGAAAAATTATTTTTCTCGACATGCAAAGGGGCAATAAAAATTATTATCATTACTAAGTGAATTTACGACAAGAAAATTCACTTATTCCTAGATATTAGTTAATTAATCAATTCAATTGGTCGGAGAGACAATCTCAAATTATGGGGGCCTTAGGAAAAATTATTTTATAATTAATGAAAGAATATTTTTATCTCAGTTCGATTATCAGAATCCCCCATCAAAAATATCATTCCGTGATTTTAAGACAATTAAACATGCATTTGGGTTAAACTTTTCATGAATTCAAAAAGAAATGAGTGAAAAACGTATCAGTACAACTGGCTGTTACATGATTATTCATACATTTACTTTTTTCCCCCCGATATAACTTTTGAAGGAGTGAATGTCGGTAGATATAAAATATTCAACGAGGTCTATATTTTACCCGGCCAACAAAAAAACTATGGCAAAAGCCGCTTTTCCCGTCTGTGGGAAAGTGTACCCGTGCGACTCAATGTACAAAACACTTCCCCTCCGTATGTATGCAAAGTACGTAAGCAGATGGTGCGTGAATACTTGGGGAATATAACGCCCAAAGACTTGATATAAAGTACGATTCGATGTAAAAGATTATCGACTAATTCGTGGAATTAATTGAATTTATTCTGATTAATTGTCTCTAGTCGTTCGATCGTTGACGCGATGCGTTCGGCGGTTCGTACGAGTTCATTATTTCCAAACGTTTTCATTTGACGGAGAGCAGTTTGAAATATAAATGACGTGGAGTGATGCGGAAGAGTGCATCGTTGATTTTTAATCATTCAGGGAGGGAAAAGCTCAATGACAATCCCCGGAAAAGGTTCGGAATTGTGGAGTGAAGCAGTTGAATTAATAGAATAAATTTCTGACGGTTTTAATTTCGTAAATAATTTTTATCTGCTTTCTGTGAGAGGTTCATTTCCCAAAAGCCCAGACCACCCCCTGGGACTATGATAATAATTAATCATTAAGTGATCAAATAACTCAATTGAAAAAAAAATCACTTCCGTCGGCCAAGCCATAGATCAGCCCCTGACCTATAAATAAATAATTAACGTGAAATAGATTAAATCCACGGCAATTCCGTGAAAAGATTCCCCAAGAAATAAATAATTAGCATTTACTTTTCAATAAGAGATAGATTTTTTTAAAAAACACTTAACCTCCGGTTGGAGATTGAAAAAATATTCACTGCTCGTCATTAATGGAGAGTCACTCAAGGGGCTTATAAAAACTCGAGCAAGCTAATCTGTGAAAAATTCTCATTAACCATGAAAAAAGAGTAATAAAACCCCTCAACAGAACTCGGGAAAACGGTTAAATATTACCGCTGAATTCAGTAGTTTCACCTCCCTCACCCAGTGACATTTTTACCAGCTGTAGGTTGGGTGCAAACGATGAAAAACAAATACTTTATAACACCCTCGTAAATTCTCACTCTTAGTCGGTAGGTGGTGAGGGCCCGCCGCACCCACCCGACGTCTCGAGAATCGCAATTAGCGTTCGAGGCTCTTAATGAAGTGGTCTCGTTGAAAGAGAACCAAGCGAAAGCCCCTCAAAAGTGGGTGGAAGCTGTACAGAAAAGTAGAAACCCATTCAAAATTCCAACTTCCCTCAAATATATCACCCTTAATTCATTACTCCATCACAACACTAAAATCCTCAACATCTTTCGGTTCTTCA